AGGAAGTCATGTAAGGAATCGATATAGTTCTCTCCCATCGCGATCGATTATCGTTACATTGGATGTCATTTAATTTTTTACACTTTCAAATTTTAAGGTTGTTTCTAGTTCACAGTATATGGTGGCTGTTTGTTCTTCACATTTAACTAACATTCTTTCGCGTACGTTTACGTTGTCTAGAATATGTTGAGGGTTTGAGCGCTATGCTTGGAATTCTCCATCTTATAGAGTTCCGAAAACTCTATTCACGTCACCTTTACTAAGAAAACTTTATGTGACTTAGGCCCCGTTTGGGGACTTATCTTTTTAACCAAAAAGTCAAAAAGTTACATTTTTAGCCAAAAAGCCAACAACTCATACAAAAAAGTCAAAGATTCTCTTTTCTCTCTACTTTTTGCACATCTTTTCGTAATTAGCCAAAAAGTCATCCCAAACATATAAGGTTTTTTTACCTATTTTTTTAGCCAAAAAGCCAAAAAGTTACTAAATTAGCCTGTTTCCAAACGAGGCCTTAGTTACATTTCCACAAAGCTGTTTACCTATACGCACATGACCCGGAGCATGACCCGGAGGGTTTGCATGACCTCATACAATAATGCGCCACATGACCCTTTGTGTTTACAAGACAGCATACAATAATGCGCTATAGAACCCTAGGTCTTAACTTCGCAATCTTATGAGAAGTAGAATAAAGATAAGCTGCTTAATGGTTACAGATCGCCCATAAATGGCTCTCCACTAACCCATTACATAAATGGAGTGTAAAAATTTGAAATGGAGGACATTTAGTTAAGGATACAGGCAACAAACTAAAGTGCAATTTCCAATTGGGAAACATTTTGCGCCATTATCCACCTAACATTAACAATACTTAATTCATTATCTCTACTACACCATTGTGTTATTAAGTATTAGGAATAATCAATTTTCTAAGCATCCATTTCTCTTTACAGAGTTTTTTTCTAAAATAACTCAAATAGATACTCGCCACCTTGGTCAAAACTAAAAGCACGAAAGCTGTTATCTAATTGATCTCAACCTCATATGTGCAATATCAAAACCATCTCAAAACTTTTGACTTATGGGAGATCAAATAGTCTTGACTCAGATGCGTATCGTAATCTATAAATGTGTCGAGATTGAGGCTTAGCTATCATACCCTTACACATATCTAGTTACAAATATCATAGTGGACTAAATGCGCCAAAACAAATGACCTTCTACGGTTTTCCTACTGACTTGTGCGCACCCATTGCGAACAAAGTTACACATTCACATGAGAGCAGGATGTCATAAGCAAGTGGGCCCGAGAAGGCCTACTCAAACCATCATGTCATCATCTCATTAATGTGATTAAGTATAATAAGCCACTAGTTCCTGACCAATGTCATAAACTAATTCCAATCATCTTAATGTGTGAGTTCTTGAAGACAAGTTTTAAAGGTTTAGGCCCAACTAGGTAATGACTCACGACTAATTCATATTCACTAGATCATAAAAGGATGTCATGGAGATATCAAGTGCGCCTAAGTCGCAAATTTAACTAGTAAATGCTAATCCCCTGCACCTTCAAGTCAATTTTATTCTCCATACACTTTACTGCATCTAGTTGAAAGATGACGGTACTCCTTTTGCCATATCTATTTCTCGCTTCATAGTTACTTGCAATTAATTCTACTATCCACAAGAAGAAGAGAATAAGCTATCAACTATGATAGCTCTTGAAGTAACTTAAGCGCGAATTAGGCTAAAGAGTATAATTCAACATAATGCTCTTACAAGCGATGCGTCAAATTCTTAGAGTCATAACAACCTTGTCAGCCTTGACCTTTTCATTACTATGCTGCAACGTTTGCGCTTAGTGGTAAACGTTATTCAAAAACGTTAGCCTAGCTAAGGAATCGTACAAAGAAGCCCCTTCGCATGTCTCACACTCAAGTGTGGAAACAGTAAGTGTCCAGACTTAGACAAGTTGGCAATGTTAATAGATTTTGCAGCCACTAAGCGCTAATCCTTTCACTTAGTGTTAATAGATTATGCAGCTTCTAAGCGCTAATCTTTTCACGTAGTGTTAATAGATTTTGTAGCTTCTAAGCACTAATTTTTTAACTTCACGTGATATTTCAACGCACACTATTATAGTGCATGAAATTTTGCTCCATCCACTCCCAATAATTGGGTAGAGAGCAAAACACTGCTCATACTGGCTACTTGTCTTACACTTAATGACTAATTTATTTAAGCTCGCATTTCTTGGATGACGTGACTCTTGAATGTTACTTCATCCAATGATGTAACATTATTTACAAGCCAAATTACAAAGTCAATCCGCGCAGCTTAATAGTCAAGATCATATACAGATCTATTGAGGGCTTACTGATTTCATAACTCCAAAACTCGCCAACCAAAACTACGTAGTGTGCCGCTAACCATAGCGCACACATTAGTTTTTATTATGCCAAACAAGGCAACAAAACCAAGGCGACTTTGAGTTATGTCTCCTTACTTTGGCTCAATTAAGGTTTGACCTAAAGTCTCCAAGACTTTTGCTCATCTAAAGAATGAGATTACATTATTCACATGTGAACATCTTTACTAAGTCTAGGTCAACCAATTAACTTCCATAAGCTAAGTCAATTTAGAGAGAAATTCACATTGGGATTAATTTGATTAGCATAATATAATTTTGCCACAAAAATCTAAATTAAATAGTGACAATATTACACAAGTCGCAAGATCGAAAATCCGCTATGCTCGTAATCATCTCTTGCGCCACAGGTGACAATTATCCAAAATTTAATTTAATTTATGCGCAAAATATTGGTTTTTGGGAGTTAATCTACAAAGATTTCTCTCAACCGAATAACCTTCCACTAACTATGGCATGTCTAAAAGCATGATAAAAAATTCTAATTCCATACAATAGCATCATAATGTAGATTCACAACCAACTCATGCTATGTCACAATCAATAATGGAATTTAAACAAATAAAAATTAATCATGCTATTCTAATTACAACATATTAGAAACTCTAAAAAAAATAATATGTTGTATTAAATATTCAAATTATGCCATAACAGAATGTACATCATTCTGAAATTTTTTGGTAATTTTCTGAATTTTCTGAATTTTTAAATAACTAATAAACACACATACAATTAGAAATAAAATATTTCAGAATCTGGTAAAATGCTATAACTATACCAGTAAATAGTAAACTACAACAGTAGTCTACAATAAAAAATTCAGCCCCAGAAACTTAATCATGCAACACCAGATGCATTTTAAAGCAGAAATAATGAATTATTATTTTAGAAAAAATATTTTTTATTTTCCTAAAATTTTCAAAATTTTACAAAAGATAAAAAATTTAATTCTGAGTCTAACGGTACCAACCACGCTTAAAACAAAGCTATAACGAATTAATTATGAGCATTTAACGTAATTCTGAATTTTAAAGAAAACAAACAGACCCTTAACCACAGCCGTCAAACCAGCCAAGCCGGCGCAGAAAACGGCATGGCTCGGCTCGGAGAGCGGCTCAACGCGTGTCTCAGCGCCCGGCGCGCATGTGGGTAGTGTGGACAACGCGCGCGTGAAAGCGTGAAATAGCGCGTGCGTGGCAGCGCGTCTCAGCGCATGGAGGTGCCTGAGAGCGCGAGAAGGCGCGTGACAGCGCGTGTCCACCGCTGACGACGTCATCTGGAGCGTAAGGCACACCCGCCGCCTTCCGGGGTGTTTTCTAGTCCGATTCGGTACTCCCGAACTCCATTTTTCACAACAAAAACATTTATGGCATCGAAAATCACATTTAATGAACATAAAAATGAGGTGTACCACACTCTCAATCTAATGGGAGTTGAAATTTTCCTCCTTTATAAACATTCATGTATATAATGTGTACATATATATATATATATATATATAAAATATACACATGATTAGAGAAAACACGAAAATACTCATTTACGCTCTGATACTAATGTAAATCAAAGGTAAACGCAACAGATGAAAAATTATGGTCATGTATTTTTTTGCAGAGTCTGAATTGAAGGATCTTGTGGGTAAATCACGTGCTTCCTGAACCTGGTCAATCAACCCAGCAATAGAGTGATATTACAGAATGAATATCACCTACACAAGTCACAGTGCAAAATGGCTCTTGATGTTGTATTTTGGGAGAGAGTCAGTATATCGGGAAAACATACGATATACGTTATTTTTCTCTTAATGACCCATATCCCATATCATATCAGATATATAGGATAATATCTCATCTATCTATATTAGTTGATATGATAGATATGGATATCCTGAGTGGTTATCCAAGTAAGTTTTGAATTCAAATTCAAACTTACATGGATAAGGTTCAAAGGGTCATGCCACATGGGCGCCCAATTTCTAACATTTGAAATGAGTGACACAACTCAGATTACACAATCTGCATCACTAGTAAAGCATACATGTAATTAAGTAACCTAGCATCCAAGAGGGTGTTCCTTATGATATCTCATTATAAGGGTATTCTTTAAAACCCACACACCCACACACACAAAAGAAGAAAAAGAATGTTATCTTACTGTACACTGCACAGGGACAGGAGCCCATTGGCTTTCTACTCCTAGCATTAAAAGATGGTCGAAATTTTTTTTCTACAACCAATAATATACATAGACCAGTGAGAGAAATCGTACAAAATTATAAGGTTTTTCAGGTATTCATTATAGCAGATAACTTATTTTGAAACAAACCTGAACCAAGACTGCTTTATTGGTCAGCCTATTGGCATCTTTTCCAGTGTCAATTTCTGGACCTCCCATTATTAGCAAACCGATGGTCTCTGAAGCACTGAGAAGGTTTATCGTCTACTGGCATCATATTGGTTCAAAGACAAAAAAAAATGACCAGTAAGGTTTCAGTGATAACGCATACATGTGTATGTCTGTCCACGCACATACATGACAGTTTAAACTACAAGAAGTGAACAAAGTTCTAAAAATCTGAGTGTCTAACCTTCTGTTGGTTGAAACTGTAACTGCTTCCTCTAAGCTTCACAATTGATATCAAAGGGTCAACGCCTATAGTCTCCCTTAGCAAGACCTACACCACACCCAGACCATGGTTAGTAGTAGTGAAGGAATGTGTATGCGTCAAAACAAAAATAATAACAAAAGGCCTACAAACCTGATTAGACGTATTGCTACGAATGAGATTGTTCAATAATTCAAGACAGTCCTGTTCTGTGACAAACAACCATGTCAGAGAAATTACCAATGGCATTAATAATTGGCCAGGGCTATCACCAAAGCTAAAGAAGTGTTTTCCAAAACAAGTCTTTTGACTAGTAGTACAATACATGTGACATCAAAGCATTGATCGCACTGTTAGAAATTTGACATTTAGTGGCGTTTAAAAAATGTCGCTTGTCACGACCCAAACCCGCCCCTATAGGTTTAGCATCGTAACCGGCCAGTAATCCTTGGACTACCGAAGGCCTCTGAACAGATTAACAAGATTAAGGGGCTAGCGGAAGTAAATACATAAATATAGTTGTCCAATGATCTATGCTGACTTACATGAAACAGAGTATTTAAAACTTTATATACATAACCGGTAGTCAACCATACATTATACCCACACACATTACAGTATTTTAGGTACAGCCAATGACAACAAATCAAGTCTTATATATACAGAAACAACAAAACTTAAACACTTGAGACACTCCAGGAACCTCCACGTGACGCACAATGGTTGGCTGACAACAGAACACAGATCCAGACAAAAGCCTTCAGGCTCGGGCTCCAGAATGCTCACATATACATATATATACACACAATGAGCTAAAGCTCAATGAATAACATTAAGGTAAAGAGGTTAGTGAATGAATTCCGAACATATCATAAGCGTAAAACAGATCATAGCATAATCATTCTCATATCAGAACATAATAATGGCACATCCCATAGAACACATCACAAAACGTATTCCGACTAGAGTAATCGGTTCCGGATACCGATTAAACACATATCACCAAAATGAAGTGACTAATCTCGTAATTACTTGTATGTCATGGACCCGCATTTTCATGTCGTCTCCCATGACTTAGGGCTATCTATGGATGCCATAATAGATTTCAAACTTGGGATGTTCGTTCACGTAAACCGATATCATTTCAGAAATCATAAATTATCACATTTCATTTGGAACATAATTCATATCAACATATCTTTACAGAAATGTTACTCACAGTGGTTCCCGTAAATGGTCAATCAATCCTCGAGTCTTGACCTACAATCACAAAATACATAACACAATTACATATTCAAGTGGCCATTAAGGCTTAGCTTTCCTTACATTGATTCTTGTTCTTCCTTAACACATTGCTCAAAACACACTCTTGAATCTCATAACTTAGTACATTCTTTACTTAGTGTGTTTCTAATCCATAACCTCATTACTATGGCTTAATTAAGGCTTAGGAATGCCTAAGATGCCAAGAGGATGCCAAAATGTGTGTTGGACCACTTAGTAAAATTTTTGAAAATAAGGTCTCCGCTCGAGCGTAGACTTCCTCGCTCGAGCGGACATGCAAAATGAGAGGGGTCGCTCGAGCTTGACTTCCTCCGCCCAAGCAACCTGCAAACTTGGAAAAAGTACTAGTTGGTTGAAATCCACGCTCGAGCTACAACTCCCACGCTCGAGCATATCGACAACATGCAAAGGGTTCGCTCAAGCGTCCAAGTGGTCGCTCGAGCGGAGAGCTCATGTCTGGAAAAAAAATACTGAGAGCTCGCATTCTCCGCTCGAGCGCAGGTTTCCTCGCTCGAGCGGACTATAAAATTCTGGGTTTTTCAAAACAGGGTTTGAGCTTCAAAATGTGATTTTAATGGCTATACTCATGCAAAGCTTGATCAAAACACTTGGAAGGCCTTTCTAAAACACAATTACATGATCACTCTCAAACATTTAGCTCAAATCTCATGGATTTAGCAAATTTGAACTCCAAAGCTCATGCATGGAAGATTTTCAAACTCCTTTATTTTGTTCTACAAAACATGCAATGAAAATCATAAGCTCGTGAAATTTTGAAACATGAAACATGATAATTTCTTGAAGATGATGAGTAAAACTTACATGCATGCAAAGATTTCAAGAGCAAAACCCAAGACATGAATGAACAAGGTATAGTCCTCCATAAACATGCACACAAGCCATTTTCTTGCTAAAAAACCCAACTTCACTTCAAATTCCAGTAATTGATTCACCAATTTCTTAGTACAAGATGCATGGAAGGTTGTCTTCAAAAGAATAGGCTCTAGACTCTTACCTAGCTTCTTGATTTCGAACAATGAGATATGGTCCTCCTAATTTCCTTCGTCTTCTTCAACCTCAAGATCTCACTCTCTCACTCTCTAGTTACACACTCCCTCTCACACAAGAGACCAAAGAGGCCACCTACCACACCCCCTCACTCTGCTGAATATACACAACACACACCTCACTTTGAGCACCATACACGTGCACACACATGCACACTTCCAACACACTCACACATGGATTTTAATCCCCTACACTCAACACCACAAAATGCCTCAACACATTATACACTCAATCACATCTTGGATCATTAATAGGATTAGATTAGGTACCAATCATGCATTATTTAAATCAAACATAAGTAACCTTAATTTATTCAGGTTAGCGCGAAATTCAATTAATCCAAATTAGTTCCCATCAAGGTTCAATTTAATCACATGCGATTTTTACCGAACCGAATCAATTCTTAATAAAATTTGACATGGTGTTCTAAAATTTCCAAATAACACGTTGATGTAATCAATTTCGATTTCGGATGCCGATAAGGCTTTCAATTTACATTTTAAAGTGGAATCCAAACTGATATTTCTACACGTAACAGATAAGAGGCCAAAATCATGTAAAATTCCATAATAATCCCATAATTTATTTATCCGCTTAATTAACATCCTTGATTACTGACTAATGGCTAATTGCGGGTTGGGGTTATTACACCGCTATAGGTGCAAAAAACACCGCTAATTCTTTTCGTGACGTTTAGCACCAAACGTCGAAGACGCGACCGTCACTATAGCATTATAGCGCTTTAAAAACGTCGTTAAATTAGTATAGGCAACATTTTTAAAAACGCCGCTAAATGTTGTAAATAACGATAACCTGACATCATCTAATATTTAGCAATATTTTAAAAACGCCGTGATAGATTTTTTATTATTTTAAAAATATGACCGTTGACACTGTAATGGCATTTGGGAAAACGCCGTTATAGCACTTTTTTTTCTTTTATAGATTGCGCTTAATTCTGTTAGATTTAACTAAAAAACATACTTGTAATAAAGCTAAAAAATAGCAATAATATGAATAAACCTATTTCAATACATTGACTAAATTTAGGCAAACATTGCATGATTATTCTAAACCAAAATCAAACAATAAACACAACCAAAAAATAAAAAATATTATATCACGGTTGTTAACAAAAACAACAGCCATAACCAAAAAAAAAAAAAAAAACTAATTTGTCCATAAAGACCAAACTTCAGAGCTCTACAAAACATCCATACAAATAACGCCCATACGTACTTGCAAGGAATGATAAAACATAACTACTCAAGTAATTATGATAAATTTGGCCATAAATGACAATGCTACCCAATAAAATAATAGATGAGAAATAAAAAGAAATGAAATCTTACTTCAAGTAATTTCTTCCATCATATCCACCAACAACATATAGAGTATGACATTAATTTCTGCTTAATTTCTTATTATTGATATGTCGAGATGTCAAGAACATTACACCAAACCAAAATAAAGAAGGCATTCAGTGTGTTTGGTTTGAGTTTTTTGAATTAAGTTTTTTGAAAACTGAGTTTTTTGGTTTTCGTGTTTTTTTGTTTTTAGTGAATATTTTAAAACTTTAAACTTTTTTTTTTTACTTTTTTAGATGCACCTTACTTAGATATATCTAAAAAGTAAAAAATTTGTGAAAAAATATTTTTAAAAATTAATAAATAGATAAAAATACAAAAAAAAAATGTACTGAATTCTAATATTTTTTTTTGTATTTTTGGTATTTAGTGAATTTTTAAAAGTTTTTTTAAAAACGTTTCTTTACTTTTCAGGTATATGTATGTTAGGTATGTTTAAAAATTAAAAAAATTGCTCAAAATATTAAAAAAATTCAGTAAAAACAAAAAAAAAACATGGAAAATAAAAAAGTAGAATTTCTGAAAAGTGTTTTTGAAAAATGATAACCAAGCATAGTGATTAGTTCCCTCGTCAACAGCAATTTCCACATAGCACAATGTCCTAATTGGATAAGAAAAATAGACGGATTATCCTTTAAATTACTAGCTCATAGCAACACCAGATAGCAAACTAAGAACATAAACAATTCCTGATATAAGATATGCCTTTGTATGAATGAAAAACCAACACATTTGAGCAATAAGAACTTTGTTCAAACACTAGATGTAATCTTAATCTGATACCATCTACAATGCACATAAAATTAAAAAATCAGAAAGAAATAATCAAATAGAAAGAGACCTGAGCAACTGTCGGGCAGCTTATGAGAGTAAGCTGTCAAATTTAGATTCTATGCAAACAAAGAAGCACTGTATACACACATGAAATTGGGATTAATCAGTATATGCATTCAACCCATGCAAACACATTGTTTTGTAAATTGATCAACTTATCATTTGTGATCTTAAGATCGAATGATTTATTTAAGGCCCGATAAACCAGTTAAAAAACAAAAATCATCAGGAAAAAAAATATGAAAACGCATTAGTAAAACTCAAGGCAAACTATCAATTTCGGGTTGTTCAAAAAAAAAAATTCTTTAAGCAACCTCTGGCAGCACATGGTCAAGGTGTTTTAGGGCATGTAGGAGTGACAAAAAAGTGATAAATAACTTGTGTGCATTTCAAACGGTAACTAGTAGGAAATTTTATAATACTAGACTATGGATATCAAGTAAACAATACGTACAAATAAAGTCCCAGTTGAGATTCAAGAAATACCACTAGAGAGTCAAGGAAGCCCAAAACCACTTTAGGTTCAGCAATCAATATACGTTCTGCTTCCTCTACTGTCGATAGGTCGTATATACCAGGTCCCGTCTTCTTTTTCACCCAACTCACAATAGCATCCCTACAAAAGATGAGTAATAAGACAATAAGACAATGGTATTGTTCCATATTGTTCCAACCACCTACAAGAGAAACAAAAGTCAAAGATGCTAAAATGACCATCATACATAATTTCCACCCAAAAAAATGAAAAAACACAATACTGTTTCAAAAGTTGGTAAATCTTGTCTCATACAGTGCAATCTCAAAATATAATATGGTTGCAAATAAAATAAAATATAAATTGGATAAGTTGTCACTTTTGAAGTGAAGTTCATTATAGTTATAAATAATTAATATACATGCTTAACTGTGTCCAACATAAAGCTCACGTTTTCTTAATGAACAGTAGCTTGCCTCAAAAAGTGCCCTAAATCCACGATCCCTTGATATGTTTTCACTCTCAATATCTTTAAGAGAACCCAAATCAGATGTTATTAATGCAGTGAGTACACCAACCTGTCACAACTCAGCCTAATTGAACTATTTGACTAAGTTCTTATGAGTTTTCTTGTTCTTTTCAAGCCAAAACAAGAACAGCTCAATCTTGAAATTTCATTTCCTTCACTGTTTCTTAGAAACCAAAGTCAAATTTATATGTAGTTTTCTTTCAGCTATTGTAATTGTGTTATCTACTTTAGTTTTTCTTAGCAAAATTTGAAGCTTAGCCCTTCATTAGCTGAGCCAAGACCTGCAGATTGGTGTATTTTTACCCTGATAATAACTATGCTGCTTTGCCTACCATACCATGTGTCGATTTTAAGCGTTGCCGATAATTCGCTTAGTATTCAATCAGAGCAAGGTACCTTGAATTTGCAGTTAAATCTGCATGAATACATACATACATAGGTGTATATACTTGTACATCTACACAAATGGAAAGCTAGCATGCATTCCTATATATGTTTTGTTATTTCCAGTCAAATGCTGCAAAAACTGAACCAAGAGGAAAAAAAAACATACTCTTTAAAACTAAAAAACATACTATACAAAAATCTAGCATTCCAATTGATATTGTTGTATCAAGAATTAAGTTTCATGTATAACCATTAAACAAGATAGTTTGCTAGATTCTGGCCCAAACTAACATAAAAAATGCCACAAGCCAAAGCCCCTACAAATAAAAGAAAAGAAAAAAAACACAAGAAGGGAAGTCATGTTACAATTAATAGAGCCATACCATGTTATTGGCAATTACCAGAGTATGTGAATGCCTGACAGAGAACTAACATGAAGATGAAATCTCTTTCTGTGAGAAAAGGTCAAGAAAAGAGTCAGTTTCGATTGTTTTTCCATCAAGAGTTCTAACAGAATAAAAGCAACATCTAGCCTAAGAAAAAAATAATAAGCTTTTTCCCATGACATAAAAAATAAGAGCTAAAGTACTTGATGGATAAAGAAGTACCAGGTTGAAATAGATACCACTTCCATAGTGTCATTCCCAAGATCCTTTCCACCTATAGAGAGAGCGTTCATACAGACATACACAATCATCTCAGTCGATAGTAGAACATTGAAAGAGTTGACATACAAATAATCTAACAAATTTGAATTGTTAGGAGAAAATAACAGTAGAATCTTCAAACATTCTAGTTTCAAAGATGCATCCAATTTGAAAGTCACTTCAATGGAGAACTGGAGAGCAATTATACACCGAACTAGAAAAATAGATTATGACATCAATGTGGTAGAAGTACGGCAATTATCAACATGAAAACACAATGCAGTGTTCAATACCAAAGAAGAGAACACTCAAAGACTGCAAGTACTTTAAAAGAATTCCAGATATATAATTTACTCCCTAAATGAAGAACCTATACCATGTAGGTGTTTTTATCCTCCATCACATTGAACTTTCTAAGAGTAGAACTGATGCATTTGTTATGACATTTCTCTCTGGTGGGCCAAAAATGATGAGTGGCCTAAAAAGAGATATTAAACCCCAAACTAAAAAGTACATAAGATGACAAAAAATTATGAATATCTCATTTGAAACTCTTGCCAATATGAATCTTAGCATACTTTAATTGTCCAAGACATTGTTGGATCATCATTGTCAGCAGGTCAAAAATAAAGCAGATTTATTTATCAAAAATAAAAAAATAAATAAAGAAGTTTTAAGTGAATCTCAAAATATTTCTACTCTTCTAAGAATAATTCAGTTCTGGATAAATATTGTATGCAGAACATTGGTCCTGTCTTAACTTGTGTACTAGTTGAATCTAAAATAAAGAAGGGAAAGGATAACTGAGAGATTAGAACCTTGGAATACCTGCTAGAGAGCTAACTCATAAGATTGAACAGCCTCCTCAAATGTACAAAGGGAAGAGTCATCCCATACCAATGTTGCAGCTAAATTAGATATACCTTCAAGTTCATCTAACTCAATCTGTTGAAAAATATTCTCATTTTAATATAAATGTGCAGAGCAGCTCTCCACTGAGGGACAAAAAAAAAACACACAACCCAACAGAGTCTAAATCCCAATTCTTTGCTAAAATGAAAAAGGACATATACCAAAACACAAATGTAAACTAGTTTTAATGGATAATAATAGACATGGTATGGAAGAGAAGAAATGCAAGCACAGGACGGTAACAAGAATAAATGTGGAAACGAATGTAAGGTTACCTCAGGTATAAAAAGGTAAAATGAACCTCTTCTGTGCTTCATGGAAGATGACTATATATCAAAATCAACATCTATAAAACGATCAGCCCTTACAAGTCTTGAATCTAGTGAGAGATATCTGTAAAAAAACCAAATAGGGGTTCATCAACTCATTAGCATAAAAGTTAAAATACCTACTGATGTGTCCATAACATTATCAACAGTGCACCTTTTCAGAAAAGATCATCCAAAATTGGTGCTTACAGCATGCATGGGTGACAAATCATGTACTTGCTCAGAGGGACCATGGCTCTGAAATCTAAATCTTACGGAAAAACTTTGTTAAAACTTTGTAGAGTGCATTACTTTTGACCATTATTGAACCATACCATGCATGAAAAATTTAAGTCCATGTTGTTTAAATGCATATTATTCACTAGAAGTGCTAAATATGGGCACATCAAATGTACCCATGCATGCACATCTACATAAGATCAGCCCAAGAGCTCATCTCACCTTAGTGATCAAGAAATGTGGAGAACAAATGAAAGAAACTGTACATTGGAAACTGCAATAAGCAGTCTTCATTCACACGTGGAATGCCTATCTCACGTCATTAAAATACAAATTGCCCTTCTATTAACACTAATTTCTTACGTGGATGATCTACTAGGCAAGCATTAAAAGATGAACGGTCTAAATTAAGTACAACAAATCCTACCTTATCTGACTCCACTATCAATGCAAATCAGCAATTTTATTTTAATTTATTTTCAACACAATAACACAATAAGATGACTACAACGAAATTTTCATCTCCCATTATCTCCAAAAAATGTTAGCTACTCAGCTTACTTTGCAATTTAAGAAATGTTGCTCATGAATTTCATCTCCCACACACACACACATACACACAAAGTTAAGGAAATTAAGTTGGACTGGGAATGTCAATACTTTCCATTTGATATCCCAATTTTATATGGAAAAAATAACCTACCTTTCAAGAATATGGAAAAAAATGAACTACCTTTCACGATAAAAGCCACTCCCTCTCACAATCTCTACATCTCTGTTTCCTTCTGTCTTTTTTCCCAAGAATTACATCTCTGTCTTCTGTCTTTTTTCCCAAGAATTACAATGGATCAGCAAGTTGTTTTTCCTCAACAACCACCACGATCCATTATTAAAAAACCCTCAAAATTTTCTCGGTTTCTTCGATCCATTTTTGGCAGCTGCGGCGGGAAGTCAGTGGATAAGACATTAGTTGAGGATGAAAAATATGGGAATACAGATTATTCTTTTTCTTTTTCTTCCTCCGTCTTGGACTCGGATTCAGCTTATTCTTCAAAGGAAAAGGGCAGAAAAAATGAAAAATTGCAAAATGAGTTTTAGAAGGTGACGAATGACATTAAGGAAGAACTTCAAATGGCTGACTTGAAAGGGAAGTTGACAAAAACTACTAAAAAGAAGGAAGCGGAGAAGATGATCAGTGATTTAAAGATGGAAGCTGGAACGTTGAAGGGTGAGAATTCAAAGCTTTTATAAGAACTTGTCACCGAATGTAGCCAGCTGAGGGAGAAATTGGGTGAGAGAGAAAGGGAACTTGCGAGTCACACCGAGATGCATGAGACCCATAAGAGTGAAACATCAACTCGAATAAGGGGTTTAGAACTTGAGCTGGATTCTCTGCGTATCCAGAAAGGAGATGAAGTGAAGTTGCTGATGGAGAATCTCAACACGATTGAGGAAGACTATGGCTACTTTGAGAGCTGTGTTTATGAAATTCTAAATGCGTTTCAAGGTGCAAAGAACAGGGTCAGAGAATTGGAAGAAACAATCGAAAAGGAGTCAGAAAAAAAAATTACTGATCAACGGAAGATGAAGAACCTGGAACGGGAGATGGATTCTCTACGGAACCAGAATAGTGATCTGGAAGAGCAGCTAAGAAGTAAAAACCACGAGACTGACGATTCTGAGTTCCCCACCTTTGCCGATGAGATCAGGCCTATTTTTCCCATTTTCGGCAGAGATGAGCTCGACGGAGTTCCGACAGTAACCTACTGCGTCTTCGGAAGAGTGAAGCCGACGGTGGCCAGAGGAGGAGTGACGATGGCGTAGGAGAGAGATCGGAGGAGGCGGTTGTTGATGCCGTACAGGCAAAAAGGGTTCTTTGCCAACGTGAAGATGTTGACCAGAAATGTCAAGAAAATTGGAAATGCTCTTAAAGCTATCGTCTGGTAGAAGAAGGCCAAACAATTGTTCTAAATTTTTATTTTATTTTATTTTATTTCTTTTGTATTCATGTCTATTATTGTGATTTTTAATTGATTGGTATATTTGATTGGTTTATAAGAACTTTTACCACTTTAGACTTTGATTTTTTTTTAAAAATAATTTCACCTTTAGCTTCATATAGGCAAGGTAGACTAGAAAAAAAAAATTTGACATAATTTTAAATAAAAAAATACTAAAAAAAAATTGAAATAAAATATAATTTATTTAAAATTTTCTGAACAATTAAAACTTAACGAGTTTAGAAAATATATTAAAAGTTTAGTTTGTTTATTATTCAAGTCAATTTTAAATGAGTTTTAATCCAAAAAAAATAACGAATTAAGTTAAAATAGTTTGAATTTTTTTAAAAAAAGTTCTATAATACATATAAATTATATCCTCCAATCATGATTGAAGTTTTTACACACTGATTTAAGTAAATATTTCAATAAAAATTCTAATGGTAAATTTTTATTCTGTTTGGAAATTGATTATTGCGCTATTACGTAATTTAGTGGGCTTTCTAAACTATTTTAAGTATTTTTTTTACTTTTAAAATTTATTTAATTTAAATATACCTAGAAAGTAAAATAAATATAAACATAATTTAAAAAATCCCTAAATACATTTTTTTAATATTTTTTTACAAATATTTTATTTTTTAAGTCCATATAAGTTAAGAAACAATTTTTTTTAAAATATTTAAAAATTTCACTAAAAACAAAAAAAAAACTTAAAAATCAATTTTAAAAACTCAAAATCAAACAGTTTATAATTTTTACTTAGATTTGTTTTTTTTTAAAAAAAAATCTCAGTGTTATTTACCAAACTGTTGGATGTTTGAGTCAATATTTAAATTAAATCTTTTTTCATTTGAGTAAAAAATGAATAAAACTCAATTTGATATGAGTATGAAACAAAAAGTTTAAATGTATTTTGAATATTTATATACAAAAAACATCTTCTATTTTACCAAACTAAGAAAATGCCAAAGAAGAGGGGGAAAAAAAAAAAAAAAAAAAAAACCAAAAAAAAAAAAAACCAAAAAAAAAAAAAAAAAAAAAAAATTGAAAAAAAAAAAAAAAAAAAAATTATCAAAAAATAGCTCGATTATTCTATGAAAATTTTGTATTATTTAATATAGAGCGTTGCTAATAATGTCACATTTTTTCTTTGGATCTCTACTTTCTTCTAGTTTTTTTGGAGAAAAATAGGTGAAACATCCCTCTCCAACTTTGTATAGTAGGAGAGGTCTAAGATTTCTTTTTATTAATTAATGTCCCTTAATATTTTCATAAAGAAAATTTAACTCAGAGAAATTTCGATCTCGACTCAAAGAAATTTCAATTTTCACATAGAATTTTTTATGAAAATTAAAATTTCTAAGAGTCGAAGCAAAATTTCTCTGAGTTGGGCAAAATTTCTCTGAGTAAAATTTTCTTTGTAAAAATGTTGAGGGACCTTAACTACTACAAAAATTTTATTTGTCTTTTATCTTATAATATCTTAATATTATGGACTTTAAAAAAAATCTCATTTTTTTTATTACAATTTTATCTTAACAATAAATTTCAATTTTATCTTTATTCCTAACCTCTCAAAAGTGTAACCCAAACCCTCCTTCCACTCCAACTATCACTCTATTCGGCCAACACTCTCCCCCATAGCCTTTTTTCTTGGGAAAATAATTAATTAGTGATAACTTCAAAAATAAATATCAATTTCATGAAAAAAATTTGTGTTTGACTTTAATATAACAAAGTTTTTCATTAGTTTATAAATATTTTCTTTAAATTTTATTCAATGAAAATTTTCATCTTTTCTACTCATCTTCCACTTCCATCTCATTTTTTGTGCACAAAAGGGTTGGGTTTTAGAGAAGGAAGAGCTATGTGGTTGTGGGGCTGGTCGCAGTTAGAAGCTGGGCTGGCACAATTGGAGTGATAAAGACTTATAACTTGAAATTTAAAATTCGCTTATAATAACATAATTACATAATTGAATTTGTGATAAATAAAAATTTGACATATAAAAATTTATTTTTAAGGCCTTTTTTTTTCATATATGAACTTTTTAAATTTAGGAACACTTATCAATCAGTCATATTAATTAGACTTATTTATTTATATGTCTTAACTGATAAATTTATCACTGCTAATTTGTTTATAACACCAAGAAAATTGACTAATTTATCAGTTAATAAATTTATCGATGAAATTTAATAGATAATAAATTCTAAAGATAAAACCTATCGATAATTTATCCTTAAATTTTAGGGTACGATGGATGTGACCTAACAATTTTTGTAGTAGAATTGCACATTTCGTGTCTGCGTCACATGTACATAATTATTAGCTTAATATATATATATATATATATATATATATATATTTGTTATTGAATTATTATCTTATTAGCCCTGTTTGGCATTTGATTTTTCCGATTAAATAGTTAAATTATAATAATTTACTTTTTCTCTCACAATTATTAAACCTATTACAAAAAAACAAACAAACAAACAAACAAAGTCAACTATCATTCCAAACATAATTTTTTTTAACCAAGTTAAAATAGTCAAATAGCCAAAAAAATCAACTAAAATAATAAAGTTTCCAAACGGGCCATCTGGAATATTGAATATTGAACCAACACTAATAGGGTGTTTTGGGCAAGGAGAGATTCTACTCACTCTGTTTGGTTTTAATTTTCTAAATTTATTTTTTAGAAAATTTTAATTTTTTGTTTTCATTGAATTTTTTTTTTAATATTTTTGGCAATTTGTTAACATTTTTGGCAATTTTTTTTAAAAAATTCGTATAATATTTGTGAAAAATCTTTAAAAAATTTACTAAATACCAAAAATACAAAAAAAAAATTGAAAATTCAGAATATTTTTCATATTTTTTTGTATTTATTAATTTTTTTTAAAAAAATTTCACAAATATTTTACTATTTATATACATCTAAGTAAGGTTCAACTAAAAAAGTAAAAAAATACTTAAAATTTTAAAAATATTCACTAAAAATTAAAAAAAATACGAAAAATAAAAAAACTCAATATCTAGAAAACTAAAACTAAACACATTGATTTATATTCAAAAAAATGTTTAAGTGAATCCAATTTTTTGATACATCTTATTAAATTATTTAGGGTTATAATTTATTCCTAGCATGCCCTTTTTTCTTTTCTTTTTTCAAATTATCCTTTTGAGGTACATACAAATAAAATAAATTAAAAATTTTAAATTAGTTTTGAAAAACCTTTCTTTTGTTCACGTATATACATGGAATACGATCAAGAAACCCAGTACTGGTAAAGGAGGATGGAAAAGGAAGATGACGAATATTTAGCATGCTTTTCGTCATTATTCTTCGAACTTTATAACTGAACAAATTCACTTTGTTCGGCTGTGTATTGCAGAACAAAGTGAAATTGTTTAATTATGAAAATCCAAACAATAATAACAAAAAATAAGTTGAATATTCGCTTTTATTTAAAAAAAATACAAAAATCAATAATTGTACTTTTATATTTATGTGAATACTTACATCCTCTTTGATGTGTTGTTTTAAAAAATTGTTTTAATTATTACTCTCATCCATTGCTTGATTTTGTTTAAACTTTTTTCTATTTGCAAATAATAATATAATAAAAAACAATGATATTTATGATAATGATGAGTTTTGGTGGGATGGATTGGAGTTTTGGAGTGAGGAAGAAAAAGAAGAGAAAATAATTGAAACTTGGGAAAAAAGATGAAGATATTTAAATGTAAAGAATACATATAATTGAGTAGGGTGTACTATGAAAAAAAAATATTTTAATGTTTAATATGTATTGTCTTTATTAGTAAATTCATATTGAATATAATAAAAATTAAAAATTTAAATTTTGAATTGAACGTACTGAGATGGGCAAGGCATAGGCCTACATAGTCCTGTAATTGGACCTGACGTCAGGGGTTTAGATAGAACCCACATCAGGCCCAAACTCCCTTGGATAAGATATAGGGATTTTTACGGGCCAGTCCTATTTTCAAGGGTTATTACCCAATAAGTCCTTAATGAAGACTCTTTTACCTATAGGACCTGAGCATTTTTGTTTATTCCATTTTTGCCCTCATGTTTTATATCCAGATCTGTGAGATGAAAGATGAAAAATGAAAAAAAAGAAGAAAGAAGCTCTCTCTCTACACATTCCTCCATCAACGACCATCGCCATCTCCACCTCCACCATTGCCGACCATCGACATCTTCACCTCCACCGCCACCGACTTCTTCACTTCCACCTCCACCATTGTCGCCGATCACTGCCGTCTTCACCTCCATAGTCATCGTCGCCGATCATTGCCGTCTTCACCTCCATAGTCATCGTCGCCTCCACCTCTAGATCTAGGATCTAGGCTCTTTGCTACCAGGTCTTCTCTCTCTCTCTCTCTCTCTCTCTCTCTCCCTCTCTCTCTTTATATATTGGGAGAAGATCCCAGTGATAAATCTATTTAAACCAGTAATAAATTTGTTTAAACTACTGATAAATCAGTGACAATTTGTTTAAACTAATAATAAATCATTGACAAATTTGTTTAAACCAGTGATAAGTTTATTTTTGTGAATTTATTATTGAAATTTATCACTGTTTAAACCAGTAATAAGTTTGTTTTTGTGAATTTATCACTGTTTAAACTAGTGATAAGTTTGTTTTTGTGAATTTATCATTATTTAAATAAGTTTGTTTTTGTGAATTTATCACTGAAATTTTTGAGTTACAGTGTTGAATGTAGAGGTAAAAGTAGAAAACACTGTTTGAACCAGTGATAAATTTATCATTGTTGAATATTTTTTAAATTTGTTTTTGTAAATTAGTAAATGAGTGTGTATGTATATGAGTATGAAATTTATCACTGATAAGATTTTACCAGTGATAAATTTATCACTGCTAAATTAGTGTGAATTTATTTTTGTGAATTAGTAAGTGTGTGGATGTGATTTTGTAAATTAGTAAGTATGTATGTATGTGAGTATGAGAAAACAAAATGAACAATATATAAGGAACAAAAGGAAGACAACATACAGGGAAGGGCTTACAGGAGAGAACTCGTGAGCAGTTTCTTTGTTTCACACATATGGCGTGATATTGAAAGGTAAAATTGGAAACGAAAATAAGACAGGACTTAGCTATTATTAATTTACTTTCACGGGACCGGCTTGTAAGTTCCCCCAAGATATAGGCCTAGATAAACAGGCCCCACTATTTAAAAATGAAAAAAAACGTTGCGGCTGGGCCTCGTAGAAACATAGAATGGGCCTGGTCCAACTGATCAGATTTAACTAACTGATTATTCATTAGTTCATTAGTTCATGGATTGTACTTTTTGTTACAATAATGTTTAAGTAGAGTATAAAAAGATGAAAAATGTATTATTATTATTATTATTATTTGTTATTTTAGTAATCAGTATGAGAAAATATAAGAAGAAAAAATTACATCACGTAATAATAAGATTTGAACTTAGACACCACACCTCATAAATGAGTCTCCTCTAGAGATTATAAGTTCGATTTTCATGTAGGACATTAGGAATGGTTTTTCTCTTTCATTTTAGATTTAGATATAGGGCAAAAAATAAAACAAGCGTGGAACACTCCCGGTTATTTTAGATGAAATTAATAACGGCAAGAAGGCAAAGTGTAAAATGGTCAAAATCACTTGGGGGCTCTTTGCCTATTATTGAATTTTAAGAGGGTAAAATGAATTTTGTTTAAGATTTTATAAGATAAATGGCATATAATATTTTCATAATAGTTAAGATCTCTTAATATTCTTACAGAGAAAATTTGACTCAAAGAAATTTTGCCCGACTGAGAAAAGCTGAAATTTTTCTGAGTCGGGCAAAATTTCTCTGGGTCAAATTTTTTCTATGAAAATATTGAGGAACCTTAGCTAATAAAAAAAACATCTTAAACCTCTCCTACTAAATGAAGGGATTTTTTTTAAGGTCTCTAATATTAAAGATTTTATAAGATAAATGGCATATAATATTTTCATAATAGTTAAGATCTCTTAATATTCTTACAGAGAAAATTTGACTCAAAGAAATTTTGCCCGACTGAGAAAAGCTGAAATTTTTCTGAGTCGGGCAAAATTTCTCTGGGTCAAATTTTCTCTATGAAAATATTGAGGAACCTTAGCTAATAAAAAAAATATCTTAAACCTCTCCTACTAAATGAAGTTGGAGAGAAATATTTTATTAATTTTTCCTAAAAAATGATTTTAACGTCCATACTAATATACTATAAGAAATACCACCTGTCTTTTTGGTTATGTTAACAAAGACACCACAACACTAAAGGGATAATATGATAATTTCTCATCAAAAAGCAAAAGTTTGAAAAGACTCACTAGACTTTCTCCAAAACATAAATAAATAAATAAAAATAACAATTACCAATTACGTCACTTTTTTTTTGGAATTGTGAAAATGCAAAAAAAATAATAATAATAAAATAAAAATAATAATAAAAAGAAAAATACTGAAAAAGCAATTGCCAAATTTATAGCTTTTTTCCCCAACAATTTACAACTGTACTTCTTTTAATTTCTTCTAATAAATATAGATATGAAATCATATGGAACATTATTACGTGAGATCACCATTCTTGAACTTGCTTCATAGAACACCCTTTTTACGACTATGTTCTCATCTACAATGTTTTGTCAATGAAACATGCTCAAAATGTCTTCTACTTGAAGAAAATCTTCGAAATGAAGAGCAATGTCTGGAGTGTGTAGCTGAGAAAGATAGCCATGAATTTCCAGAGGTTAAGGTACCAAGCTAGAAAGGGGCTTATAAAGGGTCCCAAAACCATGTTGTAAATCCTTAATATTACTTGTAGCACACCCTGTGGACTCTTTAGGAACCCTACACAACCCACAAAAAATTGATCTGTATTATTATGTGATAGTGATAAAATTTAGTTTTGGAAATGTTAAGGAAGTCTACATACACTCTGTAGCGGTTGGAAATGCATCGAATAGTGAAGTCACAATCTTCAATAAAATCTACGAATCTCAAAATAAAAACAAACGAATCAACAACAAAAAATAAAAAATAAAAAAAATAGTGGAATCTCAAAATAAAAACAAACGGATCCAAAAAAAAAAAAAATTCAATAATGTTCTAAGGAGAGTCATAGTGGAATTACCAATACTGAGCCTCCTGGTTTCATTGGCGACTCGATTAGAACTTGAGCTCTCCTGCATTATAATGTGCTCCATTATAATTGTGTAATAGAAAATTGAGGTGAATATTGAAATTGATTTTTATTTAATACTTGATGACTAGTTTGGTTCCGTTTTCCATTGAACATTCATAAAAACTGCAGCCTTTGGTGAAGGGGATCTGTTTTTTGTTCCATTCTGTCATGGTAATAGAACACATTTATTGTCAAGTTTTATGTATCACTTAAAAAGATGGTTATCGTGCTGATGAGAAACAACATTGTTAAATTCATTTGAGACAACGAAAGATGAGATCGAATTACCTAGATGCCAAGTTACTCCAATTGTAAAATCATCTCCCTCGCACATGTGTCCTATCTTGAACTTGACATTTTGACCCATGCTCGTGATTAGTTGCCCAAAGAACTCCATAACCTCCTACAGTTGCACATAGAAGCAAATAACACAATAAAGTTGCTTTTGTCTTGGCGCAAAGAAAATGTTGCTTTACAAAAATTATTCTAGTAATTGGCAAATCAGTAGACAAGCACTAATGCTTCATTTGTTTAGGCAGAAAACATTTTCTATATATAAAAAAAAAAATCTTTAATTTTAATTTTCAGTCATACAAAGTGTCAAAAAAAAAAAAAAAAAAAAAAAACTTTTTCCACGAAAGTAAACATAGTTGCGTTTATGCTTAAAAGGAGAAATTGAGAAAGACCTTTTTCCCCTGGAATGGTTTGATGAATGAGCAATCGTCAAAATAACAATTATCAGAGATGAACTCGCGGAGTTTGTTCAAATTCTTCTCATTGATAGAGGTATAGAATTGCTTAATTGAGTCAGATGAAGAAAGTAGATTAGGCCCAATATCACCACTGCTCGCTGATAACATGACTACCTTCAACCTACGTTCTCTGATGGGTTTGTTCCATATCCTTGCTTTCATGTATATATGCTGCCCTACACTCTTCGTGTTATTAATCTTAAGCGGACATGTTTTCATAGGCAAGAAACGAAGAGCCCCTACCATTGCTTTGGAGGGTGTAATCTGTCCTGTGGCATGGCCTGAGAAGACAACTCGAGCAGTCATTGTCTATTCAAAACAGATTGGCACCACTACCCACCAAAACTTGGTGTAGAGACATTTAAATGCTTTGAAGATTGTATGGAACGGGGTTTTTTTTGGTGGCTTGGAATCGAAACAAGGAATCATTCTTTGATTTGTAGCTTTGTTTTGTAATTGTCAGAGAACATTTTGTGCCTTGGCATGTAATCAAAGAACCATTGTTTCATTCAACATTGAAAGTTGGACATAACCCAAAAGGTTAACCTGGTGGTCAAAGTCTGAGTCAAGGTGTGGTTTCTCCATAGTTTCAAATTTGAAATCACCTAAATGTAAGTAATTTCTTGGAATCAGTTTATAATTAAGCTCCTATTAGTGAATGGTGAAATTGATTTTGAAGTTAATTAGTTCATTAAGCCAGACACTACTAAAAAAACATTAAAGCCTGAACGGTCCTATTTTACATTGATCCTATTTTACAACGATCCTACCACATTTCCTATTTTACAAGTCGATGGAGTCACGTATCTGCCAAAAGTGCAAAATAAATTCTTTTCCTTTAGTATCATCTATTGTACAATAAATTATTTTCCTTCGGTATCATCTATTATATCAAAGGGACTATTGAGAAAGTGGATAATTAAAGAAATGTGCAACCATCCATTTAAAATGGAGGTACATTTTCCCAATAAAAATGAATAGTTAAAAAAATGTATAAACTATTTAATATTCAAAAAACCAACAACTGGTTAAGTACGCCTACCATAAAGAAATTTTACCAGCTTCATTGGGTTGCTATATTATGATGGACCCATCTTCCAGCCACGCCCTTGAACATTTTTAGAGCCTCATATGATATGGGCTGTGCTTTGTTTATTGTTTGTTTGGGATCCTTTTTGGAATAAATTTAGTTGCTTTTTCAAATATTAAGCTTATCCCAATAAATAATTAAGTAAAGTAAATTATACCAATTTTAGAGCTTTGATGTCAACATATTTTTTAGTAAAGATAAAGTGATCGGAACTAATTCAGATGGTATACACACATGAATAAATAAGGTAAAAAATATAATTTAGTCTAAAAAATATGCTAACACTAGTTTCTATAAACCTCAGTAAGGGTTAGTGTGATTTACCAAAAAAATAAAAAAGTATAATGTTTGGTGGCCCGAATTTTCGTGGCACGAATATGTCAAAATGACGTTGTTTTATACAAAAAAAGACGTTTTACACCAAAAACGACGTCGTTTTGAGTGTTTCAAATCATTCGAGTCATAATTTTTCAGTCACCTAACATTGTTGAAAAAAAAAATGAATGGAATCATTGAATAGTGGACCAAAAAAAATAGTACACATACAAGGGCAGGTGCAACCCCAAAGTGTTTGAATTGCACCATATCACAAAATGAGTTGTACATGTACTACCATGTTTATGTAATTTTTTTTCTATCCGATTCAGTAATTCCAAATATATATATAAGTAGAGCCTAGCTAAAGTTTCGTTTCACATTAGTTAACGATAATTAATTTTTTTTGTATTGAGATTTTTTTAGCCGGTCTTTTTTTAATCTCGTTTAGTTTTTGTTTTTGAACTTTTGTTACAGTAGTTAACTGCTTTTTGGACAATACATAGGCTCCTTTTGGAAAGTGGGTTATAATCCACTTTCCAGATTATAATTCACTTCTCCTCTCACAAAAAAGTTGCTTATAAGCAGCTTTTAACCAAATAATTGATTATAATCATCTTCTCAAAATAACCCATACTAGATGTATGGGTACAGAAAAGTCACGTACTTATTAATGAAGAAATCAAAAAGTAGAGAATAGAAAAACAATTTCAAAATAATGCATCAATTATTTGTACTTTTAGGTGTCGTTTGGTAACACTTCCGTTTCAATTTTTTGTTTATATTTATAAAAATTTTAAAAACTCAAATAAAAACTTGTTTGGTAAAATTTTTGATTTATAAATTAGTGGTCTCAGTTTATAAATTTGGCCAAAAAATGAAAACACAAAAAATGTTTTTCCATTTTGAGTTTTGAGTTTTTTTTTTTTTTTACCACTCAACACTAGCCACTACCCGCCACCATTTTCCACTACCGTCTTCCGCCACCACCACCCCCCCCCCACCACCACCCCCACCACAGCCACCACCACCTCCACTGCAACCAACACCACTGCTAATACAACCACTAGTACATTAGTTTCAAGTTGCAATCAAACATAGGAGATCATTTTCTAGAGAAAACATTTTATAGAAAAATAGGTTGCGTTTGGTTTACTTTTGGAATTGTGATTCTAATCAAAAAAATTCAAAATTCATAATCAAAGACACAATTCAAAACTCAATTCAAAAACTATTTTTAAAACTCATAACCAAACACACAATTCAAAACTCTTTTCAAAACGAATAGGGCAATTTTTCCATCAGCACCTATAAATAATACAAGATAAAATAACAAATGAGAATGAAAATTATCCATCCATTATTGTCACGACCCAAACCCACCCCTAAAAGTTTGGATCATGATCAGCCAGATTACCTACAGCCTTAAATAGATTACAGAGAATTTATAATGAAGGAGCCTAAGCGGAAGCAAATAAAATAACAAAACGTCCATTGAGCAGTGCTTCTATGCCTGAATTTAGACATCATGTCATATGCTGAAAGTTTGCATACACAGTTCATACATACAAGTACAATTCATGTAGATATATACAAGAAGTCAGCAACTCAAAGTTATAGGCTCACAAAGTGTCCAAACAAAAGTCAGCAAAAGACTGAACAAACATTTATCATCATAGAAATTCCCAAAAAGACAAAAGGCTCCATTCACTTGCTACCACCCGCCACCGTCATCCATCCACCCACCACCACCACCACCCACCCACCACCACCAGCTATCCACCAGCCACCATCACCACTTTCCACCACCGTCTTCTGCCACCACTTGTCATTTCTCATTCTTTTTTATATTTTTAAAATTTTTTAACTATTTTGTCAATTACCAAACGCGTTTGTAGTTTATGTTTTTCTAAAAATAAACAAAAACTAGTTTATAAAATTTTTGTGAATATAAACTGAAAACATAAATGTTACCAAACACACCCTTATCATTTTAAAATTATTTTATCTACCCTATATGCTTTGAAATTATCCCTAAAAAATAAAAGGTACATCTAAAAATTAAAAATTAAAAAATTTCTAAAAAAAAAAATTATAAAGCAATTGTCAAACTCTTAAAAAAAAAAAAAAAATTACTTAAATATTTAAATAAGGGCTGGGAAGAGGGTCGTTTTCTTCCATACTCCATTTTGGTGCCCTTCAAGAACGGTTCATGTAATGAGTCTTAAATAGAATAACATATATATAAAAAAATTAATTGTACTTTATTTTATAAAATAAAAATTAAATCTAATTTCAAATTTAAACTATTTATTTTATTCTTTATAGAATATAACAGTTAAAATTTTAGATTGTATTTAGTAGAGTTTTGTAAATATGATTTGAGAGTATGAGTTTTATTTTGAGTTTGTGAGTTGTGGAATTATGATTTGAGTGAAGAAAACTTGTTTAGTTATGATTTTTGAATAGAGTGTTGAATTGAATTTTAAATTGAGTGTGAAATTGAGTTTTGAAAGTTTGATTTGACATGTGAAGTAAGAAAATTTGTTTAGTTATGAGTTTTGAAAAGAGTTTTCAAAACTTAATTCAAATTGTTATAACTCATAACAAAACACATTACTTTCACACTATTGAAAATTCTGATCAACACTCATAACCAAACTCTTTTTAAAATTCAATTAAAAAAATTTATTATTAACAAAAAATAACATTAATCAATTTTTTAATTGAAAATACTACAAAGGAAATAATTTTTTTTCAAAATAAATATTCAAAAAATTTAAATCATAAATATTTAAATAATTTAAATAATCTAAAAAATTTAATAAGTAAAAAATTAAAATAAATATTCAAAAAAATTTTAAATAATGTTATAAATGTTAATATTTTTTTAAATAACTCTATGCTCAAATCGTAACCAAACACATAAAACAAAACCCAATTAAAAAATTATTTTTAAAACTCATAACGAAACACATAATTTGAAACTCCATACTACTTTCACAATTCTACACTTAAATCGTAACCAAATACATAACAAAAAAAATTAAAATATTTAAAAATATTTTTATAAAATAGAGTTTGAATTTATTTTTATAAAATATTTTAAAATTTTAAAAATTAAAATCATAATATTTTTGAAATTAAAATATTTAAAAATATTCAAAAATTAAAAAATTAAAAAAATTGTAACATATTTAAATATTAAAATATTTAAAATCTTAACAAAATTAAAATATTAATTTGAATTGAGTTTTGAAAAGAGTTTTGAATTATGTGTTTAGTTATGAGTTTTGAAAAGTAATGATTATGTTTTGAATTAAGTTTTAAGAAATGGATGTAAAATTATGATTTAAAAGTTTAAAAAAAACAACACACTCAAATTAATGGGTGTAACTATAATTTAAATTGCTTACCAAACGGAGCCTTAAAGTCTCCTGTTGAATGATAACAACATGTTTGGAGAGATGTGTACATACGTATACGATTACAACCAAAAAAAATATACGCATGATATGAACAATCTCTCTCTTCTCTGTCCTGTCCTGAATCTCTCTCTCTCTGCTCTGTTCAGTATTCAAAGGGAGAGTGCGCAACCTGGGTAGCAAATTAGCAATGCGTGCCTGTCACTGTTTCTGATGCTCTCTCACTAAATCTCTCTCTCTCTCTCTCTCTCTCTCCAATTTGTGTGACAGATAATTCAAAGGGAAACCCCCCATTACGCAGATCTGGTGAACTCTCCCAAAACCCATAGCTTGATTCATTGTTTGTAGTTGTTGTTGTTGTTGTTCTTCTTCTTTTTCTTCTTCTTCACATCGTGAAAGTAACCCAGAGAGATTCTGACAAGGTGGTTTGGGATCAGATGAGAAACCCATCATCAATGACACCCATTACTGTTATGGGTTTATCAAATCGATCCATGCAAGTTCATGACTTGGCTCATCCTCTTCGT